TATAGCATCAGCTTTTGTGAGCTGGAGCTCACTTCATCAGATGCTGTGAAAGGATGTGCAGAGAGCAGTGTGTAGGATGGAAGGAGCGATTTGAAGGCAAAGGGGTGTGAGGGAAGAAAGCGCCAGCGCGGGGAGAGGAGGATGTTGCTATGCGTGTTGCCCCTACCAGGTTTGGTGTGATTTTGCTCTCTCTCTATCTCTCTCGTGGGTTCTCACTCCCTTGTGGAATTGCATGGATCAAGAGGTGATGGGTACGTGTGTGTGTGTCAATGGCTGATTCTGCTGCTTGATGAAGAGCCTCTCCTTCTCTAAGGATGGAGCAGCGCTGTGCATTATTTTAATCTCAGCCTCTGGAGATGCTGCGTGTTCTGCGGGGTTTGCCACGGCTTAGTATGCGCATCCTCCCACCCCCAACAATGGTGCCGAGTGCGTGCGCGCGCGCGTGTCCACCTCATGCCCTCTGCCGGGTGGAGGGTGTACCCATGCCCACCCCGTCGAGATACCTGGGCGCGGGGAGCATGGCGCTGCGCCCTCCAGGCACTTCGCCGTCCCGGGGTCGGGGACGTTTTTGAGGGGAGCTTCGAGGAAGAGGCATGATCATGGGTCTTACTCTCTTGGGGCCGGGGCAAATTGTGCACGACAGTATCTGGGCCCCCGGGGAGAGGCGGGGAGCTGAGCTAGCCTGTGTCAGCGAGATGCTAGTTATAGTTAGCAGTGGGGAGAGGGGGATGCACATCTCACTGCAGGAACAAGATCCCCTCCTCCCCGGTTGTAGTGCGAGTTAGAGGTGACCTGCAAAGGGAAACTAACTGGCTGCGCGTCTCGTCCCTTAGTTGTGCTCCGGGAAGGCCTGAAGTGTTGTCCGTGTGTGTGTGTGCAGGGGAAGTAATGGAGTCACACAGTACATCGCACGATATATTGCCGTGTGTGTGTGTGTGTGTGTGTGTGTGTGTGTGTGTGCGTGTGTGTGTGTAGATCTAGTGTTTGGCTAAGACCATAAGGTCCGTATGTACCCTGCCTTTCTGACTTCAGACTAACACGGCTAACTGCCTGTCTCTCTGTGCAGTATATGAAGTGTGTAGAAACAGTGTGTGTGTGTGCACGCGCACAATATATACACAATAGATCCAAAGTCAGGTCTTCAACCCCCTCTGCCCCCAGAACTAAAGAACTAGGCAGCTCAGGGCAGGTGGATGCACACACGCACACGCCGTATATACACAGTATATGCAATGTCAGATTCCATCCCTCGCTAAGAACTAAAGAGCTAGGCAGCTCAGGGTAGTGGGTGTGGGTGTACACACCATATATACACAGTATATGCAACGTGAGGTCTCCATCCCTCGCTAAGAACGAAAGAGCTAGGCGACTCGGGACGGTGTGTGTGTACACACCGTACATACACAGTATATGCAACGTCAGATCTGCAGCCCTCGCTAAGAACTAAAGAACTAAGCAGCTCAGCGCTGTGTGTGTGTGTGTGTGTACACACACCGTATATACACAGTATATGCAACGCGAGGTCTCCCGCCACGAACTCAAGAAGCAGGCTGCTGCGCTGAGGGCAGGGCGGCAGACTGCGGTTGTCGCTGAGCCGAGCACGGAGCTGGCGGACGCTGCGGGCTCTTTGGTTTTGCGCTTGACTTTGACACGGCTGCATCTCAGGAGGCTGCGCGCCACGGGCCCAGGGACAGCCCGGAGCCCCGCGGGTGCCACACAGCCCCGGAAGGAGAGGAAATAAGGACATGAACAGAAATGTTTTTTTCTCCTCCGATCACCTTGAAGCAGCGGGCAGGGGGCCTGCAGCGTGCTCCCAGCACACAGCGCTCCCCCCTCCCCCCTGGCGTTGCTTCCTCTCCCTCCCTGTACCCCCGGCCCGGCGCCCCGGGCATGTCCCTCCGAGTAACCCCTTCCTCCCCTTTGTCCTCTGCACCCGAATGTGCTCTGAAACCGGGAACACCAAGGCAGGGTTTTCCCGCCCACTTCTCCCCACCATTCTGCAGTCATAGCGGGGAGTGCACATGCCCGGAACCCGAAGGCAGGGGAGGGGGGCTGCTGGGAAATGTAGTCCCGGCAGGTGCCATTTTTATCCTCCCCGCCCCTCCGGAGTGCGTATGCGTAGTACACCCCCTCCCCGCAACGCGTCGCGGTATCCCAGGCATAATTGTCATTGCTTTCCCCCACTTCTGGGCGCCGATTGGCTTGGAGCGCCGAGGGGCGGAATATCTGCCGCTGCGCGCTTCCCGATTGGCTGGCGCGAGTGTCATTGCAGCGCCGGGAGGAGGGATGCGGCTCCCTGTGTTGGGAGGTGGAGTTTGGCTTCGCCGCTCCGTTAAAGGGGAGCCCCCGGTGCAAGCCGGGCGGTGTATGAGTCACACGCATAAGTGAACACGCACAAACACACACCCTTGTGCCACGCACCGCCCTTAGCCCCTCCCGACCCAAAACTTTCCCCCTCAGCCCAGCGTGAGCAGGGAGGGGTAATAAATCTGTACGGGGGGGAAAGGAAGCGAGAGAGTGAGTGTGTATGCGCGTCCACCCGCCCTTGTCGCGGGGAGGGGTGCGCATGCGCGGTGCGTGGCGGGGCTGAATGTTTCCCAAGTGTTTGAAACTGGTATTTGGGTTTTCCACGTTGGATCAAGTGCGGCGCACGGAGCGGGGAGCAGCGGCCGCACCGAGGAGGAGGAGAAGGACGGGGAGGAGGAGGAGGAGGAGCAGGAGCAGGCGCCGGCAAACAGAGAGGTTCGCTTTTGCTGCTGCTGCCTCACACTTTGCAGACCAGATTTGGTTTCCAGATTGTTTCGGAGGAGCTGGTGTGAGCGGCACACACACACACACCTCCCTCCGATTGTTCCTACCCCCGTCCTCTGTGAGTTCCCCGCCACGACAGCCATTCAATCAGCTGCTGCTGCTGGCTGGAGTGGGGTGACTCGCAGAGGGTGTGTGTGTGTCTCTCTCCCTCTGTTTTCACCGGAGAGGAGTCCGATGTAGCTGCTCCCGGTGCTCTGGAAGAGGTGGGGGGAGCTGCAAGGGAGCGATCCGGGCACTGAGCAGCCCTTGCAAGCCTGGGCTGGGCGGCAGGCAGGAGACGACCCCCGCTGCTGCTGCTACTGCGCCCGTGGGGGGGGGCTCGGATCCCTCTGTTGCCTGCCTCGTTTTCTTCACTTGCCGGATGAAAATGTTGAGTCCCGCTAACGGAGACCAGCTGCAGCTCGTCAACTATGTGGAGGATTATCTGGACTCCATCGAGTCCCTGCCCTTCGATCTGCAGAGAAACGTCTCCCTGATGAGGGAGATTGACGCCAAATATCAAGGTAAAGTGCTTGCTTTTCTGTGTGTGTGTGTGTGTGTGTGTGTGTGTTTGTGGGGTGGTAAGGAGGTTTGTCTTTTATCCTTCCGTTCCCTGAAAGCTGCCCCCCCCCTTGCACATCTCAAGGATGGTAGTTTTATTTCGGGGGAGGAGGGACGAGAGCTGCTTGGCGGAGGGGGGCTGATCCGCAGCGCCAGCTCTTGTCATGGGGCGGAACAAAAGGTCTCCGCTCCTCTTTCGAAGCAAGCCCTCTCGCTTTTCTTTTTTTCCCCCTCTTGTTTCTTCTTGCCTGGGCGGGGGGGTGGGAGCTGGTCGAGGCGGCGGCGGCGCTCGGGGCAGGGGAGGGGGCACAAAG